TTGATACATATGCGTACCGAACCGAAAGCACTGTATCGAACGGTTCAATATCGATACAAGTATCGTTGCACCCCTAATAAAGAGCTATAGAAAACAATAAATTAAAGTTATATTTGGTCGTCAAATTACATCCTAACCAGTTTCCTTTCAGTCGACTAATTGCTGCTGCTCTAATTGTTTGCATCTTTAGACAAAGCCCATGGGCCTCGAGGTTTGTGAGCGCTCTGCTTGGTAACACACAGCTCCTCTCCAGCCTCATACACAGACTCTGGGACCTGCTTCACAACCAGGTGCATAAACCCACATTTATTCCCTCTATTTATATCTGACTTTCACTTTGTGTCGTGGACTTTTAATTTTATTCTCATGCTTAAGAAAAAAAAAGTATTTTTATTCTTCTATGTGAAGTGGCTGTCGCTGAATGCTGCCCATATACTCGGCCTGGCAGCATTCCTGGTCCACCTGTATTCCTTGGTGTCTCGTGGTCCTCTGGTTCAGTTGGTGCCGCCCATTCGGCTTGAGCCAGTGCCGGCTGAAGAGGCTCTGAGCTTGGCGCTGTCCTGCAGCACACACGCCAACATGCTGTTCTGTGCCAGGTGAGGCTTTCCATGCATGGATGTTGACTTTTAATGGAGCGTTTTAATGATTGCATGCTCTCTTTATGTGCTGTCGCGAAATCAATCAATGTAGAGCAGTGTCACAAACCACGGAGGCCCCAGAAAAGTGCAATCAAACGATGAGTTTATTAACAGCCCGGAGAAAACATCAACATATGTCTTCTGACCAAAATACATGTTGTGGATACTTATAAAGCAGTGGGGAACACACCCCTACATGGCGTCAATGACAGATTAAAATAGGTTCCAGACATTAGTCACAGTTAATCGTACATCTTTAATAGCTATAAGCAGACATAGAACTTCTCTTTTCTATAACACCTTCCATACAGGGTAATAAACTTCAAGCCCTCAGGGTCTCTGAGGCTAATTATTGACTCTGATCATCTGTTACCAAGTAGAATAAAATATAGTAAGACACCAAATGAGTTGAGGCCTCAGGCCGGACACATTCCTAGATTATATGTATTATATGTACTGTAAGCATACATTGCAGTTATCCTTCTATGTTCTAGTTTCCCTCAGTATGTATCACCTGGACAGTCACGCCAGTGAAGCTTAAGACCCTTAATGAACTGAACATCAACTCAAAATAAGCACAGATATGCAATGTGTGTAAAATACTTCTAACCGTACTTGTAATAAAAGTTAACATAATGGAAGGATCCTCAAATGGACATCTTCAATAAACAACTGTAATGCAGTATCAATACTGTGAGAAATATTATTACATGAAATAATGCTGTAAAGAATGTTATTAATGCAATTATAATGATGCAGATTATATGGCAGTAATAAAAGAATTTCTGTATCTCCACAGTGCCTACAGCAGAGAAAGTTTACTGGTTAATGTGTGTGGATATCATCTTTGACATGATAATGTCCTGCACCTGTAACTAACAAGGATTGGCCATGCATACTATCCACATCTTTACATCTACAATATATGTTCAGTAATAGTGATTTGGCTCATTGTGGATGTCCAGGTTGTGTGTAGCAGCTGTCTGTTATGGGATCTGCAGAGAGGACTCACTGCCTCAACAGCAGGACTGTATCCCCCATAGTCTCTATAAGAAGGTAACCTTTTTTATTTGACATGTGATTAAGTGATGAGGTTTGCTTATTGCTTTTCTTTCCAGAATTTATGCAAACCTTTCCAGAATAATTTCCTGGTGGCCGTTTGTTTGTCTTATGCTTTTTCTTATTTCCTGTCATATACATACTGCGACAAATATGGATGCTCATATTCTTGGAAACTTTTAATTAAAGATTTCTGTGTATGTAAAGTAATCTATGTGAACTTTTACTGTTAAATATTAGATATCCCTAATTTGCCCACTGTGAGCACAGAAGCCCCACCCACTGAGCCAATCAGACGAAAGCTGTCTTAACTCTTTCCCCCATAAAGATGATATTTGATGACTTTGCCCAGTAGCCTTAATGACAAGTTTTGACACCTCAGTATATATCAACAAAGATGTGGTTTGAGGGCTATTAGAATAAAGTACTCGCTCTAATTTCTGATGCAAACCCGAACATTTTGTTCTATAAGCAGGTATGAAATATGACAGAAATCACTCTTTTCAGAAAAAGAGCTTTGATGATAATTCATTATAGGCTGTCACTGGGTAAAGAGTCAAAGGTGGCCTTAATGGATGTAAAGCAGCTGGTTTCTGGCAGAGTGTGACCTAAGGGGCTGCACAAAGTCACAGAAAAGAGACAAATAAGGAATTTTTCTTTTAACTGTAACCAACGCAAAGCAGCACAGGAATAAAAACATTGCTGGTAATGAGCATAATGGGTCACCTTTAAGCACAGGGTTAAATTTGAGGGCTAAATCTAGAAAACAGATGTGTCCAAAACTGAGACTTGCAATAAAATAAAACAGAAACGCAGAACTACCTCGCACCCTGCCTTTGAGAAGCTGAAATAAAAGCATGTGATCAAATAGTTTATAATGAGCTTATGTTTCCTCCACACTTGCTCGGCCTTGGCTATGAAAGGAGGGCGGTGCAAAGTTTTGATTTTATTGTGTAAAAAGAAGCAGAACAAATGCAAATATCATGACAGACGCTTCACAGTCACAGTGCAAACCACTTCTTTGCTCAGTGCTTGCATTTGTACCTTTTATTTAATCAATAAAGTCAAACAAACAGCCCGAATAAACAAAGTGCGATATAGAATAAAGTCTTAAAACTCATTAAAAACACCTCCTGCCTTTATTACATCATTCTGTGTATCGTCAGTCTTAACCAGCTTTCTGGGCCTTCCCTCCTTTCATTACTTAAACCTACTTATACTATTGTGTGTTTGTGTTTAGCTTCTGTACCTCATCCCACGACTGTTACCTGAAGCCAGAGGAATTGTAGCTGATGCTGAGCTAAGTGAACAACTGGAGGAGAAACAGACTGGGCTGTGGAGCAGCATCACTGACTCCAACAACACCTGGAGGAAGACGGCCTGGCATCTGTGGAGGAACGCTGCCTTCCAGCAGCTCGGACAGATACCACAGTATCAGGTCTGTGCTGGGTCCCCTGTTTCTCCATTAAACACACACCTGTGCAAACATTGTTTGCATTAATGAGCACAGGTGTTTGAGTGCATGTAGAAAATGATTCATGGAGTAGCTGTATTGATGTAATAATCATGAAGTCTCCTTATGTCTGTCTAGTTATTGTTCTCAGAATGGTTAGCTAATGAGCTGAGAGTACTGAGGAGTGAGGACGCCCTGCCTGACGCTGAACGGTAAGACGGCAAACACACCGTGTGAGTTTAGAAAATAAAATCTATGCCTTAATAAAACAATAGGAAGTTTAATCTAAAGTTTAGAAACTCTGCACTTAAAATGAAACAAAAGGCAAAAAAACATGCCCTACTGGCCCAGCCTCTACTTCCAGGATGAATCCTTATGCACGTACAGATCGGTTGAAGCGGTGCTGCTAATTTTATGATCCTGTTGCAAATCAGCTGTTTCACCGCAGACCTCAAACTTGTGCAGAGGACTTCCAAGCAAAGATACTGAAGCTGTGGTGGTCTAGAGGTGCAGAAGAGGACTTTGAAGGAGAGATTGGTCAACTTAAAATCTGAAATACTTCTTTCTGTGATTAAATTTCTTCCCCTGCACCTCTAAAGGAAAAAAAAGTTGTTTGGGTTCCTGCTTTTATTTATTTGTTCCTCTCTGCAGTCAGGAGTATCAGCAGTGGGCCTGCATGGAGCTCTACCTGACTCGTCCAGAGAAGCAGGGAGGCTGCGGAGGAGACATGAAAAACCTCTGTTCTCATTTGCTTAATGCCATCATGGACCAGCAGTTAAGGTACTAGTAGTTAACATTAATGTGCGAAGTCCTTAAAATGAACCTGTCAGATATTTGACAAGAACCCAAATAAAAATGTTTCTTCAAGTCAGGAAGGGCGCGGTGGGAGAGGCAAAGTGCTTGTGGTAACTTAAAAACCTCTTTTAGAGCTTGGAAAAGTTCAGTTAACCTGACAAACAGTGTTTATGGATTTGTGTCCATGTGTGCATGTTTGATGTCCGCAGTTGGCAGAGCCTGGAAGCACAACAGCACAGAGTGCCAGGAAGAGGAACCTGCTTACCAGACATCCTGTCCCGACTCCAGGTGCGTGTACACTAACTGCACCACTCTGAAAAGCTTGTTTATTATAAACCTGGTAAAAACAAAGAATCTAATGTAATATTTAAGAAATTATTACATATGGAAAAAAAGAAGGCGGTTTTGCTTTGTTTCTGTATAACAGTCAAACTGCTGTAGATCAGTAACACCATCTGGACTTTTATATGCTAATGTTTATCATTGTTTCTTCAGTTTTATCAATTGGTGAAACAGGTAGTAACATTTTAAAAAAGTATTCATGACTATAAAAAATGATACGTAACTTTGAAAAGTTCCCTTTTCCCCCTTATTTCTGCAGCAATAGCATATGGATGGGCTGTGTAGACATAGTTAATAAAGTGTGGTAAAAATAATGTTTATATTGAGGTATATTGTATTAAAGCTAGCAACTTCACACAAAACATTTTGTGATCAAGAAAAATATTTTAGTGAAGTGATCTTCTTACATATATATTCTTATAATAAAATAATATAATCTTAGCCTTTTATTTGATTTAAAAAACATGCAACAAAAATTCTGAATGCTCAATGAATAAAAAATAAAAGCCCTGAAAATTAAAGAGCGTGGATTTGTGAAAAATGGCTACAGAATGGGTAAAAATTCCTTAAGTGTCACACTTCACTCTGCAGAACAAGCAGAAATATCAGTAGTAGTAAAGTTTGTCTTTTTTTTTAGACATAAAAACAGAAAAAATAAAAGCCCTCGTACACAGAAGTTGCACAGCAGCTTCTGGAGCGTCATCAGCTTCCATGTTGTGTTTTACTCATTAGTGTACAGTCTGTGTGACTTCAGTTAAACTAGTGAATAACACTTACGTGCTTGTGTATGTGCAGGAGCTTGTGTATGAGATGGACATGATGGAGCGGTCTGGCAGCCGTGGCAGCAGAGCTGGTGTGGGTGACTTCCTGTTTGAGGTGTTGTTTCAGAGATGCTCCTCTACAGTGACCTCACAGAGCATCAGCACTGACGTCAGCCTGCAGCGCTTGCTGCATACATGGAACAGGTACGCTGTTAAATATGAGAAGGGAGGCATTGCAGGGGCGTGGCCAAAGGGGGGGCTGTATAAGGCTGATGGGGTATTGTTGGCACACTCGTTCTGTGATACGTGTCGGCTCATTGCGATTGTTAATCCACTGAATTGCTGTTTGTGTGTGTGTCAGAGTGCTCCTGGCTCTTCCAGCTGTGTTGTTGATTAAAGTAAACACTGATGGAGGGGGAACAACACTGAGCTGCAACAGGCTAATAGAACACATCAACCAGCATCAGGTGAGCAGCTCATTTAATGTCTCTTATTAATCTGATTTAGATGTTTGGCTGGAAAAGTACTTTTTATGCTCACCTCTTTCTTCACCTGCACTCCCCTCTGTTCATGCACTAGAGGAAAGCGTGTTCTCCAGCAGGCGTGCTGTCCTGCAAGATAACTGCACACTTCCTGAGAGTAAGAATCTTTCTGAAATCTAAAGTTCATACAGGTTGTACCTTTAGGTGAGCTTGTGAGATTATTGAGAGGTGTGCTTCCTCTCCAGGGTCTGTTAGGTGCCAGTGTACGTTGTGGACAACCAAGATATGAAGTCAACAAAGCCTGGTCTCAGATCAGCGTGCAATGTCCTGTTTTGTTGATCTCCACAGTGGTACTGTCTGTTCATTCTGACTAAAATGCCTTTGAACACATTTGGCACCTTCAATATTTAGAAAGTCCTAAAATCTTTTATCACTGGAATCACAGATCAGTGATCTATTAGAGCCTGTGTGAAGCCTGCGATGTTGTGTAGAGACATGACAGGAATATAGCGTCTTTGTTGTGTGTCCGTGTGCAGCACTGGTGGCAGCGTCTCCGTCCGGTCCTGTTGTCACTGTGGCGTCGTCTGTGTGATGAACAGACGCTGCCGGAGCAGCTGCAGCTCCTCACGGAATGTCAGCACTGGGCCTGCAGGTAACGCCTCCTTCATGAACCACTGTCAGCAAATTATGTACACCTCCTCACAGCTGCTCACACCTGAACAAGTCACATGAAATATGTTCACATCTTAGACTGCCTTGATGTCTGTAACAGCTTTGCACACTTTTCTTCGTATCAGCCACCTTCATGAGCTTCATGGGGTTTGTTGTGGCTGCATTAGTGCAGAGTAGTCCTTTAAATGTGATGTAGACATAAATTATTGTTGCTTTTCACTTATGGTGAAACATTAAATGAATCCTCCTTTGGTTATAATAGTTCTCAAAAGTGTCTAATTATCTTGGTGAACCCTACAGAAACCCCATGTTAAAGTTTTTCTTTCTATCTGCTCTGCAGTTTGGAGAAAGGCCAGCTGCTGCAGATGCCTCCAGCTGCAGCTCTGCTGCTGGCGGCCAGCCTTCATCGTGTCTGGCGAGGCTGTGAGGCAAACAAGCCGAGCTTCAAAGCTGCTTTGAATTTCCTGCGACCAGACAGAGACTCCAAATACAGACAGGTGAGAGAATAAAACAAATTCTACGTGCTGTCCATTTTTTCACAGTTAGTGCACCATCTAATTCTATCTAATTGGCAAAAGACTGTGAATTCTTCAGAAGCCCCACCCACCACCAGCCACTCAGACGAAAGCTGGCTTAAAAGAAGTGAGAGGAGCTGAAAGGGTTTGTTTAATAAGACAAATCCACTGTGCTCTTTTGAACAGAGCATCCAAAGTTAGCCAATGAACAGCAACAAAAGACTTGCAGCTGCTGCCCTTTTCTGACGTTGGGTGGTTTTATGAAGTCATTCTCAGCAGCTGTTAATTCGGCTGCTATATTTAAATTTATTATATACAATTCACATACAGGCAGTTTGATTACAACATAATAGAACATAATAAAAGTCTAATAATGTGGATGAAAGTTATATAAATCTAAACTTCTGATTAAGGGAAGAGTAGAACAAAAGTATCACACTGAGAGGTTCACTGTCTGACTGAGCCCATCTCCATCCTGCTTATTTGGTCTCCAAAGCTTTCAGTCACTTTTTCAAAAATGTTGTTGTGTTTCTGCTTCCAGGTGCTCGTTTTCCTTCTTTTCCTGTGCGTTAACGACCACCTGACAACACTGCTATATCCTCAGGTAACTGACCACCTAAACAACAATGCTGGAATTTAGAACTGTGCAACATTCACACTCATAAACAAGTTCTCAGAGTGGAAACAGGTCTTTCCAATGCATTTGTCTAGTCTGTTTTTGTTCCACGAATCCTACATAGAAACAGTCCAGGAACACAAGAACTGACTGTGAAGACATGCACAACTTATATGAACATAACATTAGCAATTTAAATATGATAATTGCTTATTTTATTTCAATTTGTAGGATAACAGTATTTTATTAGCAGTATGGTCTTGACCCCAACCTCTGGACCCTGGTGCTGCTTTTGATATTCTGCGTATATAAAAGTTTTATGGATTTGTGTCCATGTGAGCACCTGCCCGTCAACCAATGAGAGCTGGGATAGGAGGGAAACGGATATGAATGGAAAATAAATTGAAGAGGAAAAGACAAGACTGTATTGTTATTTCTGTCTGTGTTTTATAAAGTGCATGGTTTTTTTTCCTCTAGGAGAGGAGCTATGAAGAAGGCCGGGCTTTATGCACAGAGCTCCTGGCTGTGTTGATGGACTCTCCTGATTGGCTGCTCATCTTTAAGTCCAGCGGTAAAGTGAACAGTAGCTCGGCGCTCCGGTCATCTTTTAAATCTGATTTGAATTTGATGTGGTTGAACTGATGTGCTGCGTTTTTATTTTTCACTCAATTTTAGAGCAAAGCATTTATCAGTCGGTTACCATGGTGACGTCAGATGACTTTACAAAACTAATGCCGTGGGCTTTCTGCAGGTGAGTGTTGCAGCTGCTTAGTGGAGGTGGGGCCTTGCAAACAGCTAGGTTGATTCATGAATGCCACATAAATTAAATGCTGCTCTGCACTAAAGCTGACGCACCATCGCATTAGGAACGACAACAGGCCAAAACACACAAACATGACAAGATGGAAGTTCCAACCTCACCTCTTATCAATATTTGTACCTGTTGTACCTTCTAAATTTCCTTGTGTTCATGGCCGATCAGTTTGCTGCTCCTGCAAAGCGCCGAGCTCCTACAGAGAGCTGTGCGTTGTCCAGGGTTCCTCCATACTGCCATCGTCTGCTACCTGAGCATGCTGCAGCTCTTCCTGGAAGGAAACACTCAATCACCGGACACTGAATCCTCTAAGAAGCAGCTGGTGGTTTGTACTCTAACTTCTAACTGGTCATATGGCAGTATTGGAGTTGGCACACTGCTCTGGACTCACGTTCACCATCTGTTTTGGTAGGCGGAGCCTTCCCACATCCTTGGCCGCAC